ACCTCCCAGCTCCCACCATTCCTCGCAGCTACTCACCTGTGTTGTTGCTCAGTAAGTAGCTGCTCCTCAAATGAGGAAATCTAATGTAAATGTACTGCGCAGGCGCGCAGTTCAGAGAGGGCTCAAGAGCTACTCTTAGAGCCCCTGAGAGCTACCGGTAGATCACGATCTACTGGTTGGTGACCACCGTTATAGACTGTTCAGAATCTTCACTCCACTTCTCTGAGTTACCCAAACTGATCGTAGGGGTAATGACTGGCTGGCACTTCTCAGGAAAGCCCACGGGTTCTTAACTTCTCCTGGGATGTTCCTGGCCTGCTCTTTTGGCAAAGTTGGAACAATATTGGTCATCAACAGCAATAGCTTGAAAGTCAGACCTACCAGTACAATAGGAACAGCATACTTCAGCATCACTGACTGCACCGTGAACCTCTCGTTATCCAGAGCTGTCACAGGACGTGACAGAGCCATGTCCAGACACCACCTGAAACATCAAGATGGGTTAGAAATCCCAGCCCCTGCCACAATAGCCAACAGTCCCAAGGTCTTAACACCAACTTCTTCCTCTATAATCTTTTTTGTTTATCATGATCAGAATAGTGTGTCTACCCTGATTCATGATGGGAAACTGGTCATTGTTTCAGAGACTCACATCTAGGCATTCTATACTATTAGATTTGTGCTTAATACTGGAATAAATGTAATGAAATCCCTTTGACTCCTCAGCAGGCTGACTGCAGCTCTCCAATCTACACCTCTGGTCAGAGTTAAGAATGTAAAAGGTTAACTGGTGGGGGCTGGAGCAGTTCCCCACCTGCTGCAGGCTGGTGGCTGCTCCAGCGCTGCAGGATCCACCATGGTCAGGGGCGTTCAAGCACAGATGGAGCAGCCCCTGTATGTGGCGAGCCCAGGCATGTCACAGGCAAGGGCTGTTCTGTAGGGCTGCTGCTCCCCCGCCCCCTCCCCCCCCACACACACACTCCCTCTCTTTAATCAGTTAACTGGTTAAACATCACGTTTAACAGGTTAACCAACTGAATGGGATTTTACAACCCTAGTCAGAGCACGTTCAGAGGCCTACATCTCCAGCTGACCAGAAGGGTCAATGATGTTACTGATTAAATCCCAAGAAGAAATGGTACTTGCAGAGAATCCTACCCCCTCAAAGTGGAAAAAATCAAGTCATATGAAAGAGTATTTCCCACTCAGTTTCTAAAAATGGCTTTTGCCTCCCTGCTGAATCAGATCAAGTAACAATGAAACACCTGCCTTATGCTGTCTGCAGTTCTCTCACTCTTCCTTCCTTTGCTCAGCCATGAATAAGCATTTAATTTCTTAAAATTAAACTGTCCTAAAAAGCAAAGCAACTATGCCTGCAGGTTAGCATTCTCTACAGATCCATCTTTTATGTCCATAATTCACAGATGCCACCTCTGGTTAGAGAATTGACAACTAGCCTTGGCTTCTGAGTTTGAAGCAGAGATTTAAAAAAAATAGAAAGGAAACTCCAATCCCCATATAAATGGGGCCAAGTACACGGCTTGCTACCAAATGTATGAATTCTCTTATTCCCCTGCCACCACCATGTATCCGTTTGCAGGTGAAGTGCAAAACTAGCATTTGGAGAATATGGCTTTGTACACCCATCTGATCTAGCAACTGCTGAGAACTAGTGAAGGAGTCCAGTGAGTGCCTGATAGCTCTAGTATTCCCAGATAATGGATACGAAGTGATACCATCTATCTGAAGCCTCCTGTACAGAACTGGCAAAACTCCACCCTTTCTGCTACAAGAACCAAGCCAGCCTGCACAAGCATGAAAAGTGGTATTTAGCACACCTGACATTGTCAATCACTGGGGTCTTTAGGACACGAAAGAGACGATACAGCTGAGGATTCTGAGGTCCCTTCTTCACTTCACCCCTTGGGGAAGGTGGAGGAGAGAAAGGAGGAAACAAGTCTCCTGGCTCCAGAACAATGTGTTCATCATCCTGTTATCAAATTAAGAAAGAAAAGACAGAGGGTACAAAGGCTGCACAATCAGACAACTCAATGGAAACCTCCTGAAAGTCATTAGCGCTTTATTACAGCAGAATTCTGTTCAACACAGGACACCTTTCCTACACCGTTCAAACTATCAATGCTTTCAAATTCATTTGCAAAATTGCTTCACTGAAAGTGAAGCAGAAACACACACATACCACAGAATGCAACACCCACTCCTCAGCATAACCATAGCATGTATGCACACTTAGCATGCCAATTAGGTCAACGTAATTATGGTGCTAAAGTGTATGAAAAATTCCCCTCCCCGAGCACCATAGTGATGCTGACCTAACCACCTTTGTAGGCACAGCTGGGGGTGATAGAAAAATGCTTCCATTCACCTAACTATGGTTGCTTAGGGGGGCAGAGCTCTTACAGCGATGAAAAAAATCCCTTTCATGGCTGTAGGAAGCATCTATACCAGGGCAACTCAACTTATGGCCGCGGGCCTCATGCGGCCCTTTGTTTGTGGCCCACAGTGCAGTTTGGGTTTACATGGAACTCAACACGTGGCCGGGAGCCAAAACAAAAAAGTAGTCAATATAATGGTCTTCTGTTGATATGCGTTTTAGTAGTTAAATTCCTGGACTGTCATTGCTCATTAAAAGTGCTGTCATATGGGTGGAAATCAGGTAAAAATTGCATTTTATTAATATCAACAAAATTGACTTAAATGGGGCCTGCATGTTGTGTAGTCTTGCCTTCATTTTTGTATTCATACCCGTCACTGGGAAAGAAGCGATTTGCATATATATTTGCATGTATATGCAACCACACTTAAGTTGTGGCCGTCGTCATGTGATGTGAGTATCATTGTGGCCCTCAGAGCTTCCAAAGTTGAATAGCCCTGATCTACAGTATGGTGCTACAGTGATATAACTAAGGTGTCACAGTTGTGTGACTGTAGCACCCCAGTGTGTAGATATGACCTTAGACAATAAAGAGCACCAAAAGTAACTTTAAAAGCTGAATTTTCCATATCTTTTTTGTGTGACATTTCCTCATCTTCCCATTAACTCTGTACTTGATTTCAGGTGGGGAGTGCCCACTTGGGCCTATTAAAGATCCCTTCATGCTTTTGTAAGAGTGCCATGTTAATTCTGATGCCCTGGCCAAATTGTAGTTTTGATAATTTCATTCCACTTCTCTAAATTAACTATAACAATTGTCCACATGTATGTGGCATTCTTTTTCACTTCATTCCAAACTGGTGTTGCTGTGTTGTGGACAGCAGAGAAATGACCCATGTAATTCCTTTATCTGCTTCACAAGAATTTGTAGGGCTTAATTTTTAACATTTGTAAAGCAACATGAGTGACTTGGCTAAGAGCTTCCGAACAGCATAAAATATATTATCTTTAGCTTTTCTCCCCTTCCATCACATTACCTACAAGGAGAGTTCTTCCTGCATCTTTTAAACTTTTCTATTCTAAGCACTCTCTTTGTTCTGTCAAGTGCTCCTGTTTGTATGACCAACTCTGTACAGTCTCTAAATAAATCATCCCACAAGTTTCTATTCTCTGAGAGCTGCTTTCACAGCCAGGAGGAAAGCCAGGTCCTGCTGTTCGTTTTGCTATGCTGTAAAGGGCAAGCTTCGATATCCAAAACACCATGATGGAAGGGTTTTCTGAAGCAGCAGGCTGTTCATAATTTGTTCCCAAATAAGATCTGATCAGCCAATAATTACACCACACATGAGCTAATATATTGTCCAGGTAACATTCCCACCAGCAGTGACCCCTCCTCATCTTCTCAGAGTCCCTGAAATTATTCTGCAATCAGATGGAGACATGCATAGACTCTCAGATTTCAAGGTCAGAAGGGACCACCATGATCAAGCATGATTTTATAACAAATAAGTCTAGATAAGAGATCACTTGCTGTCCTGCAGTGATAATCTAAACATTTTCCCCTGCTTTCTCAGTCAATTTCTTCCTTAGCTTGTAGTTCCAGGCTTCTTAGGCAGTTCATCCATTTTCCTCCATGTATCCTGTAGAACTCTCTTACATTACTAGAGAGCAGAAAACCCATTATTTCTCCATATGAAAGGCAGAGGGGAGTCTCTTTTATCAGAATGGTATAATTCTACACTAGGACTATGTGGAAATACCATGTTGGGAGTTCTAGCTACAAAGAGAATGCAATGAATTCACTGCAAGGAATAGAAAGGAGTATTTTGCACACAGGTTCATTTAAGATCTTCAGAGATGGTGATTTTCTGACTAAAACCCATCTTCTGGCAAAACACACCACCCAAGGTTTGAAAATGGGAAGGTGTCTTATTGAATTATCTATTCAGCTGGGACTAATACAGCTATGATCAGAAGCACAATACACCCCTTTCCTGTCCTGCAGAAGATACAAAACATGATGCTTCTGCATCATTTGTGCAACTAAGTTGTTGAGGTTTTGGGGTTGATGGGAGAGCTGTTTAAATAAAGCACTTCTGGCTGCATAAATGAAGCACAAGGTAAATCTCTTAAGGGTTCCTAAGGCAGGAAAAGATCAAACACACAATGAGAAAAGTGCATGCTCTGGGAACAGGTCACCAACAAGATCCTCCCAGGAAACAATTTTTCATCATGGCACAGAAAGGACACAAGTGAGTTACCTTAATCCCTCTCAGAGACGCAAAAGACTCCTGCCCTGGTCTCAGAGCAATAACATCTCCCTCTACTAACAGGCTGACGGGTAGGTTTACAAGATGACCATCCCTGTAGGCCCAGTGGAGTGACCAGGATGGGGCGAAAGGCATGTGAAGGTCTGGGTACATGGAGTCTGGCCACTTTGGCTCTTTGCCATTTTCTAGGGTAT